ACACAGATAATTTGATATCCTCGATGATTTGATTTACTTTCAAATATAGAAATTTGAATTGCACTGTATTAAGAATAAATGCCACTTCAGTGACACTATTGAATTTGAATTAAAGAGCGCAAGAAAAGAATCGCTTGTTTTAAAGAATCTTGAGAAATGTTTCAATGGTAAATTTGATTAAAATATGTTAAGCTGGGAATAGCCATCTGAAGCATCAATTTAATATGTGAGAGAATCAGCAGCAGGAGGGTATTAGTGTAAATAAACAAGCGATCCCAGACTCTAGGTCAATAACGTACATAAATAATAAATACACACGTACTATTACTATTACTATCGTTCTATTATAAATAAGTTGAAGCGAACGGTATTTAAAGTCTGTATATAATTTTAAACACTATATAATTTATTCTACAAACTGTATTTAATTACCAAACGACACTGACAATGAAAAACAAAATCATTCGGTTTAATTTAATTCGAATAATGATTTTCATGTGTACTTTATACAATTTTCCAAAGTTAATCAACTATTTCTATTCTTCATAATTATTCCTAATATTTACACGTGTATTTTACAAAATCTTCCTGTCTTAATTAACTATTTCTATTCTTCATAATTATTACTACACAAAATGGTCAATAACATAGTAACAATTATTACTAATTTTCAAAGTACGACAACAATTGAATTTACCACAGGCAAATGCAACGAACGTACGAATAATAAAACCAATGTCGTTAAATAAATGTCTCGTTGAACTTTGACGTGTGATGCTTGTGCATTTTTACGTTACACTCGTTCTTCCTTTATTTTCACAGAGATTGTATCGGACACAGCACACAGCCATAACGTTTCTACAAATACAAAAGAACAATCAATGTGATTCATACAGTGTCGTAAATGCGTTTACAAATAGCCAGCATGCTGGAAACGAAGTGTTACAATCGTAAATACCCGAGTGAAATCAGCTTTGCCAGGTTATATCCAGATAATAGTAACACAAAAGCGATTGTATCTTTGGAAATGTCAAATAGTCGTTGAATATATTCTGAAAATTATATGTACAATAAAATGTGACAACTGTGTGATGTCACGATCTCTTTCATTTGCAACAAAATTATGCATTCGAAATTATTCTTTCCTGTTCGAAACAAATTCAATATTTTTTTACAATCAAATAAGTCTATAAATATGTAAACAGTTTCGAATATAAAATAAATGAAATAAGTTTAAAAAAAAAGTGCATAAATGAATAATTTTAATATCTTTGCTAATTTTAATTATTTGTTAGATGTTCGTTTAAAGAACTCTCTATAATTCTCGTTAAATTAGTTTGCAAAAGTATCTGAATTTACACA